AGGCAGATCTACTGAAATCACTGCTAAGGGGAGTAGTGGGCAAGACAGGAGAGGTCTGCTGCGCCATGTGGGTCAGCTCCCTGGCCAGGGATTGAACTCATACTGCCCTAGATGGTGATAGCTTGATAGCACTGAGACTTTAACCCCTGCACCAGGGAGGCCCCCATCCTACTTTCTGCTTCTATGAGTTTAGCTACTTTAGGTACCTCATATAAGAGGAATCATGCAGTTTTTGTCCTTCTGTGACTGGTTTATTTCACTTGGCATAAAGTCCTTAAGATTCATCCATGTTGCCACATGTAACAAAATTTCCTTCTTTTTTTTTTTTTCCTTGACCAAACCACTTTAATTTGCATCTTTAATGTACAATATGAAGTCCATATTTCTTCAGTTTCTCACCTGGCTCCCACTTGTAAAGAGCTGAATCGACACCTTTAGTCTTCTTCATCAGGAAGGATACCTAATTCTTCATCTGTCCATTGAAAAGGATGTGGATATGCAAAATGACCCAGCACAGCATTTGAATCGTGCCAAAAGCGCCAGAGAATCCAGAACCACATGGTTGCACTGAAGAATTCGGCCTGGATCACCTGGAACCTGGTCAGCTGGGGAAACTGTACCTGGGCTCGATGTGTACACCGCCGCCAGCATGACGAACTCCGCCGCCTCCAGCCTCTCGCGCGCGGCGGCCTCCAATGCGAACGAAGGGCGCGCACCATGTCAGAGCCAGCATGCCAGCGCTGGCCGCGACAGCCTCCCCCACAAAATTTCCTTCTTTTTAAAGGCTGAATAGTATTCCATTGTATGTGTGTATGTACACACACACACACACACACACACACACCACATTTTCTTATCTATCCATCCATTGATAACATTGAATTGTTTCCGCATCTTGGCCAACATGAAAAGTGCTACAATGAACATAGTGTGCAAATATCTCTTTGATTTGCATTTTTCTGATGATTAGTCCTGTCAATTAGCAGTTTCACCAGAGCCAATAAATCGAGAGCTGATGAGAGCCAACACAAGTAGCTGTGCGCAGATTCTTTAAGAGAATTTGATAAACCAATGAAGTTGGATATGTAAATATCTTCTTTGGAGAAATGTTTAATCAAGTTCTATGCCAGTTTTTAATTGGGTTATCTATTATTATTTATTTTTGCAGTTGAGTTGCAGGGTTCTTTATTCACCATCGACATAAACTCATCAGATATGTTGTTTGCATACATTTTTCCATTCTGTATGTTACCTTTCCACTCCATTGACTGTTTCCTTTATTGTCCAGAAGCTTTTAGTTTGATATAATTTTGCTTTCTATTTTTGCTTTTTGTTGCCTGTGCCTTTAGTGTTATTTCCATAAATTGCCAAGATCAACATCATGAAGCATTCCCTTCTATATTCTAAGAGTTTCACAGTATCAGTTATTATAATCATAATTCTTTAGTCCATTTGATTTGATTTTTGTATATTGTGTAAGGTAAGTGTGCAATTTCATTCTTTTGCATGTGAATATCTAGTTTTCCCAAACCATTTGTTGAGGAGATTATCCTTTTCCCATAGTGTGTTCTTGGCACCCTTGTCAAAGATGAGTTAAACATAAAAGTGTGAGTTTATTTCTGGGGTCTCTATTAAATTTTGTCTATCTTTATGCCAATTCCACACTGTTTTGAAGTCTGTAGCTTTGTGATATATTCTGAAATCAGAAAGAGTAAGAGGCTCCGTTTTGTCCTCCCCCCGTTTTTTTTCTTACAAGATTGCTTTGGCTATAGAGTGTCCTCTGTGACTCCATATGAATTTTTGGGTTGTGTTTTCTATTTCTGTAAAAAATTATATGGAAGTTTGATAGGGGTTGCATTGAATCTGTTGGTTGTTTTGGGTGTTGGTGGCATATTAGCAATATTAAGTTTTCCAACCCGTGAACTTGGAATGTCTTTCCATTTATCTACACATGCACGCGCGCGCGCTCGCACACACACACACACACACACACACACACCCAAACCCAAAAACTGTTCGAACTAATAAATTAATTCAGGAAAGTTGCAGGACACAAGATCAATATATAAAAATTAAGTTGCATTTCTATAGTTAAACAACAAACAATCCAAAAATAAAATTAAAACAATCCAACTTATAATAGCATCAAAAGAATAAAATACTCAGGAATAAACATAACCAAGGCAATGAGAGATTGAAAACTACAAAACATTGTTGATCTCCTTTTAATAAAAATTGACTTAGGATCATGCCAAGTCATGGCCAGGCTAATCTGGTAAATAAATTCAAACTTAGTTATAAGTAGCTTACTGGTTTATCTGTCTTACGAATTGACTGGTTGCAGTTTATTCTAAAGGTATGTGTAATAAGATAATATTCATTGAGCTGCCTATAGGTGAATTATTTTTTAAAAAATACTTAAAAATTTCAATATTGTAATATGTGATTGTTCTATCTAGCATAAAACCAGCCACCCCCTCCCCCTTTTTTTGTGAATCCGCATTTGTACAAAATCACATACATTATCAGGTATGCATATAAATATTAATAATTATTCTTGGAATACCTCTCTGGTATTATAATGTAACTCAGTAAGAAGAAGACATCATTTCAGATGTCCCCACACTGTATACTTACACAACTTTTCAGTGACTCTGGGAAAATACAGTTTGGGAGGAAGTGCAATAATAAGACAATGGAACTTTTTTGTTACCTTGTACTAGATGATTTGTATAAATATTTCATTTAATCCTTTTTCAAATTCTATAAGGTAGATCTTTGTCCCATTTGTACTACTAACCAAAATCCAGTTCTGTGTCTTAGGGTGGTGATTAATGAGAAACCTTTAAAAAAAATATCTGAAGGTGATTAAACTTATTTGGAAGTGAATAGGCTAAAATACATAAACCCTAAACGTTTTTGTAATTGGCATGAAATTTTGGCATGTGCCAGAATCTGGTATCTCACTGTTGATTTAAAAAGGGATCAAAAAATAAATATCACAATCTTTTGCCCTGATAGTAGGTCTTTCCATAATGATAAAATCCCGCCCTCCCCCTCCCCACCCGCCTGCAGAGTCCTCATCAAGGCATTCCCTGCAGTTATCATGCCACTGGGTCTCTACAGTACAGACAACTCAACCTAGGTGTTGACTCACAAAGACTCAGAAGCTCCAGGACTGTCTGTCAGTCCCTGCAAATCCCGGTCTGCCTTGTACCCTCCCCACCCCCCGTGGTCAATTACTGTTGAGCCTAACCCTCATGGGTAGAAAGAGTCCCCTGTTGGTGGTGCCCTGACGCAGGGTTCAGCCTCTGGACATGGGTTCTGGACTATCCTGCGACCAGTGCTTTCTTGTCATGATGAAAAACTTCCCGGCCTCCAGTATCGCTCGCTGCTCGCACTGGGTCGCTGTGATTTCACATCCATTCAGTAGGTAACAGGAGATAACAGAACGTTTTCTGACCCTCTCCCATCCTACCTCCACTCTTCCTCCCTTTCTTTCTTCCAGCACAGGGAGGAGAAGCACGCTTCTGTCTCCCATAGGTGCTTTCGGACACCTAGCGAGCCACCCGGAGAGCTAACACATTTCAAAGGCTTGTTTGCCAGTCTTCAGAGATGGAGAAATGACTAATTCGTGTTAACTTATCCATGGGATTGAAGAAAGGGAGAGTGTGCTCGCGAGCACAAACAGGAAAGCCTGACATCACGGAGCGGCGGAGTGGCGTGGGAGGAGTCAGCGGCGCCCTCCCTCGCCTGCGCCCCGCGCTCCTTTGTGGCCCCAGTCGCGCGCGCGGGCGGCAGGCGCAGGGCAGGGGCCGCGCGCGCGGGTGCGGGAGCGCGGAGCCGCGGGGCAGCGCGCGTGTGGGTGCCGGGGGCGCGGGACCGGGCTGCAGCGCCGCGGCTGAGCCCGGCGGAGACTCCGCTTGCCTGGGAGAGGGCGCATCATGCCGCGTCCACGTACCGAAGAGAAAACTGAGAATGAAATTGCTTTGGCAAGCTAAAATGGTAACGAGAACTCTGTCTTCTCCCCAAGCTTCTCTGGCGGGGACCTCCTCCCGCTTTCTCTGGGCGTGCTGTGCGCTCACACGGGGTGCACGGCGCCCTCCGAGCCCACACTTGGGAGCTAAAGCTTTCTCACTCTGCTTTGTACGCCTTGCTCTCTGCGCGTCTGCTCCCTTTAAACGAGCCCTACTTTCTCAGCAGTGGCCTTTGGTGTGTCCGGGACAGCTAGATGTCAGGACAGGAAAACTTTGAAGGAGAAAGAGTTGTGAGTGTGGGTGACCCGCGGAGCGCTGCTGCGTCCTCGGTTGCTCTTTAACACAAACTAAAAGTTTGACTGGGGACTCGGAAATCCAGGGGGTCGCTGCGCCCACTTTGCTTGAAGCCACTTGATGGTGTGTTCCCTTTTTTTTTTTTTTTTTTTTTTTTTGCACTTGCCAGATTATTTTACGGAAATAAAAAGCTTTCCAGCCCCGCTAACTTTTGGGATCCCAAAACAATAAAAGGAGAAAAGAAACAACATGAGAAGCTTTTCGCTTCCCAAGGAGTGAGGCGGACCGTGGGCATTTTAAACACTTGTTTGTGTGTCTGAGGTTAAAATGTAGTTTGCTCGAATAACTGAGACACTTCTGAAAGTACAAATGAATTATTTGTCCTTTCACTTAAGGAGGAAAAGTTAATCAGGACTAAACCACAGTCGCTTTAAGAAGGAACAAAAAGACTGAAAAGCCTAAGATATGTGAGCAACACCAGGAAAAAATAACTAAATGGAAAAGTCCAGGGATCCTGATACCTCAGAAAAGGGCTGGGGGCCAAGAAAATCTCAGCATTCCCGCTATCGCTGTGTCTTCTATTGCTTTGATTGTAATATTTATTTTGAACAGCCTTCTTGTGCCCGGAGTGCTGGTGTAAGCAGCAAAGCAGCTGGGATAGATTGTGGTTAGCAGAGAGGAAAAAAAAAAAAAACTTTTTTGCTTTCTTTTTATCCCATCCCCTGGCAGAGCTCGATTCAGGACTGGGGTGAAGAGGTAGAGGAAGGAGCTGTTTACCATGTCACCCTCAAAAGAGTCCAGATTCAACAGGCTGCCAATAAAGGAGCAAGATGGCTAGGGGTGAGTAAAGCTGCAGAAACTGTGAACTTTGGAGTAGCAGTGTCTGTTGTTCTGTGAATATCATTATTATTTAGCAGAGGCAGGCTTTTTTCCTCTCCCCTCTCTTTTGGCCTTCTAAAGGAAACTGCCAATGATCAAGTGTTTGCACTAGCTGTACAGGTCTGTTTTTGTACTTAATGTTTTCTACAGCATCTTTCCTGAGTTTGTCAATAATTCAGAACCTCTTAGAAACATCTTGAGGTATTTGGCCAGTACAGTAGGGGTGGAGTGGCAGAAAGCAACACCGAACAACAGGACCAGAAGGCTGTGCAGTGTTTGACAAGAGTCATAAACAGTTCTGACGCCTTTTTCCTCTCCCTGTCCTCCCCCATTTGTGCTGAAAACCCCTCCCCGACCCCTGTACTTTTTGGAAGTACCCAGAATACTCAGACGACCGGCCATCCAAATCTGCTTAATATGGGAGTGCAGATTTCCCGCTGTTTCCCCTTCCTGCATCCTCCAGGAGGGTCCTGACCCTGCCTCTGCGGATAGTGTGCTGGACCTTTGGAGACATGCTGCTTCCAAAGATGAGATTTTTCCATGGAGACTCTACAAAAATTAGGTGGACTCATGTGAGTTATTTGTTATCCTCTAATGGATTCTTCACCACATTCCAAATCAAGGGGATGTAAGAAATGGAAAGCTTGGTGGCAGCATCACTCCTTGGGCAAACAGCAACAAGTGGGAGCATGAAGGAAATCTGGATCTGGAGGCAGAAGTCATCCCCTGAGAAAGCAGGGAGTGGTGACACAGAGGCTTAGAGAAAGAAAGCAGTGGTCAATGAAGCAGTGGGGAGGGAGCGTGGTTCACCTGGCCTTAGTCTAGCTAGACAGAGCCTTTGCAGGCAATGGACTTGAGGGTGTGCAGGTTACACAAGGGCTTCCACTCTCAACTGGCTTTGGGCATCAGTAACTTTTCTTTCAGAAAATTCAGAATTTTGAGCAGCCTTCAAAGGTGGAGGTGTGAAGGAGGACAGAAAACAAAACTGCCCAGGACCTCATGTGAAGACTGGAGGCAACGTGTGGCTCCCAGAATATAAGGCGGGGTGGCCAGCAATGGGGACTTCCTCCCTCCCGTTCTGCTAACATGGGCATTCATGGCTTTGGGCTCCTCAGGGGCTTCTGCTCCGGCCTCCTCTGCCCTGTCCTTGGGGCTCAGGTGTATTCCAATTTGTGGTGTCTGCAGTTGTGATCTGAAAGGTGGGACCTTTCCTTTGAAAGCCTGAGATCTCCAATTATGAAGCAGGTGCCTTACGCAGAATATGATTTTAAAATTAATTAGGCGCATCACCTGTAGACTTGATAGGGAACTGAACTAGTTATGACAAGTCATCACTTTGTTTTGGTGGTTGTGTGTATGTATTTTATTTTAATGTGGCATTGATGTGGTTTGGCCTCACTAGGTATTTCGAAAGGATCCACATGTTCTGAATCAGCCCTCTTCAAAAAGGTCATTACATTTTGTGATGCTGGATTGTTCCTCTCTTTTCAATGACACTGATGTTGTTGGGCGACAGTTTTCATTTTTTTTAAGATTTATTTTTATTTATACAAGAGCTGGGGTACAGGCCAGAGTCGCGGGAGGGTGAGAGGATTCACCAGAGATAGAACAGGGAGCAGAACAGGCAGATGGACCAAAAGCACTGCTGAGGGGAGCAGCAGGCGAGGCAGGAGATGTCTGCTGGCCAGGAATCGAACCTGGCTGGCCAGGAATCGAACCTGCACTGCAGAGGCTGTGGACAGCTTCACAGCGCTGCGCTCAACCCGCTGCGCCACCGGGGAGGCCCAGCAGTTTTCATTTTTAACCAAATACAACAGCAGTGAATGAGCAAGTCATGGGAAAGACTGTACCCCTCCAGCTCCCAAAAGATAGTTCATTTGGATGCTCAGTTATTTAGTAATCGCCACTGACCTGTTTGCTGCACCCCACTTCTCTTCTGCCCCCTACCAGGTATTCTCAGATTTACACAGAATGTCAAGTTGGTTCACCCCAGAGCTAGAAATGGAGCTGATGTATCGAGGGGAAGGATGCTGTAAAAACATTTGGTTCTAGTTGGTGGTAGACTCTGTCCTTCCCCCATTCTCCCCGCCATTTCAGCAGAGTGTGGTTTGCAGCAACCGGCCCAGTCCTCCGAAGCAAATTGGAGGAATTCCCCAGCCCTGTCTTAGTGTCCTGTTGAGAAGCTCCATTTTTGTCCTTGGAAATTCCAGACTTAATTAAATGTGACTCAACCAATTGAGCCAAGGCAATTACGAGACCTTTTTCTTTAGGACAGAGTGGCCTCTCCATATTTGTTTTCTGAAATCCCAGTAACCCTTTCAGAATTCCTCAGGGTAACTAGTTTTATTGTTAATTAGAGACTGAGGTGAGGTGAGGTGAGGTGAGGTGAGGGTGTCATTGAAATATGACAACAATCTTATGAGGAAGGCAGTGGTATGGGTAGCTCTTTGCTTCCTTGTGAGGAAACTAATGCCCAGAGAAGTTGAATTTGGTTGCCAGAATCACACAGGAAGGAAGTGGTTGCAGCTGAATTCGAACCCAGGTGATTAGTTCCGTCCTATCAGGAACTTCCTGGGACCTTAATGCTGTTTTCATCATAGTGGAAGAAAACGCTGGGCTACAAGACAACCATGGCCCAGAATACTTTCCCTGAAGATATTGCACCCAGTTCAGGACTTGAGTGATGTGGTTCTCTTCTCTTATTTATGTCTTGAATGTTGATGTGAGCTACACACTGAGATATTTGTTGCGCAGATAGGCAGCATATGGCTGAGCTGTCCATTACTAATGTGTGAAGTGCGGTGTCCCAAAGAGATGTATGAAGTTACATAGCACAGGAGGGTGGGCCTAGCTCTCATTACATGTCTGTCATGCTTATTCAAAAGCCTAAGAGCCTGAGTCAATTTTTGTATTTCCTAGTAGTCAGATCTGAAAACATTACCAAGATTCAATTTGGGAAGGAAAGCAAAATAATTATGCATCCTTAGATATTTAGTGTGATACCATTCAAGCATGTGGAACTTTCTTTTGTGTGTTGTTTGTTCAGTTTTGCCTTCAGTAGATCTTCTGAAGCAGAACTCTCTGTCTTTGGTTGTAAACTGGACGGCCGTTCACTTACACATGTAACTGCAACCTTGTCCTATCGACAGTCAATCTCTGCTGGAAAGCTTTGAAAAGCTAAATATTATTGAAGTGTTGGCTCAATCTTTCTTTCCAATAGCATCTTAGACAGATAATTTTACCTGGCAATCGCCCTCAAAGTAAAATGATTCCGCTTATGTCATAGAATGATACAAGCTCATGATTGGCAGAGATATTGAGAAGCAGTTGCACACAACCATTCAATCAACTTATAGACTGTCCATTGAGTTTTGGAAGAACCAGTGGTCAAAACATTATTTTTCTTTGTTTCCACCATTATTATTGTGCCCTGACAGTGCGCTGAAGAAATGGTTTAAGCAGGGAGTGAAACCTTTCAGGGAGAATATTCATATGGAGGAAGGAAAAGGAGCCAACTGGTAGGGGTGTCAGGGGCCTGTTCTGCTGTCTTTAGAATATGACAGATGCAGGGTCCAGAAAAATGTATCAAGCCTGGGGTAAGTTCAAAGTGGGACTATATCTGTTCCACAACAGGACTGGTAGTAGCACCCTGGTCACTCTGCAAGGTTTGTGGGCAGTGGAAAGGCCAGTGGAGAGTCACGTGGCTTTTCTCAGTTCTACGTGTCTGTGGTCATCAGGTCCTGGGGGGGAAGGCAGGCCGTGTTTCCCTTTCCTACATCCCTATTTATCACTCCCACATTGCTCCTTGTTGGGTTGAGTTGAAATACCTGACAGCTAGGAGACTAGTAAAGCTGGTGAAACAAGACAGGAGAAAGTAGAATATATTAAAAAATAAAAGGAACAGGAATCTATTATTAGTGAATAGGGTGAGTTGTGTGGCCAGTCCTTGGGTTGTGTGGGTGCAGTGGTACTTGTCACCACTGCAGGGTGACATATTTGCTTGTCACATCTGGATGGAGGAGTTGACTCCCACTTTCATCAACTCTACTTGTTATCTTTGTGGCCTTGCTTTCCTAGTGCCTTCAAATGGCACACAGTTCTAGGAATTTTCAGCCAACTTCACTTCTGGAAAGATTCTCTGGTCTCCCAAGGATGGAGGAGATACCCTCGCTGAATGTTCTAGAAGCATTCTCTATCTCTCAGTCATGTAGTTACCTCACTCTGTTGTAACTCCCAGTTTGTATGCCCCACCCCATAGTAAGCTTGGTGAGGTGGGAATGATGGCTACCTACATGCCATAAACCCATAAATGTTTGTAGAATGAATGAATGCAGCTTCATCCCTCATTAGGAGGACTAAAACTGTTCAGGTAAATATGAATATATGGTTGCTCCTCATTTAAAATAAGCATGAAGAAGAGGATGGGAGTGTGGGAGCGAGAAAAATCAACTGAGTAGTGATAACTGACTTAATACCCTTTCTAGAACAAGGCAGGCTACAAAGGTAGTGCTTATTCTTTTAACAGAAAAATTCACAGCAGTGAATTAACTGGAGAAATCCCCCATGTGTTTTAAAAGCAAGAGGTCCAAATATTCTTGTCCTTCTGCTGAAGGTGGAAGAAAGAGAGGCAAGGCATGAGTTAAACAGCACTGGCAAGCATTACAGCTATGTGTGGCCAGAGAGCCCAGGAGCAGGATTTTAGAAATGTAAGGAGATAAGCCCTAGTGGAGCCTGTAGTTTACAGTTGTTCATCCTTGTTTTCATCTAGGAAAACAGACCCTTGGGTTGCATTATTCTTGTCTATTGGAATGTTTAATTTAGGCTTTAGAAAGTAAATTTCAAAACCTATCCACCATCTCTAAATTAACCAACTGGTCTTTTTTTCCTTTGGCCTTGGGATCATGTTTCTAAAATAATTAATCCAAAAATACAGAAGCTTATACCAACAAAGAAAAAAAAGA